GGCCAGCTCATCCGAGTTCTCGGCCATGGTAGCGCTACGGACGCCAACTTCGGTGAAGGAGCCCTGGACGTCGTCGTCGACGATGCCAATATACTCGCCGATGTGCCACTCTTCGCCGAACTTCTTAGTGATATCTGCGGTAAGCAAGGCTTTCCTCCAGTTGGTGAGAAGATCCCTGTCGCCAAGGTCGGGGTGCTGCTTGAGCTCATCCTTCTTCCACACGCTGAACGGCCTCCAAAGGACCCTCCTCCTCTTCTCTGTGCCAGTGACGTTCCGCTCCTGCTGGGCCACATCGACCTGGAAGTTCCTCTTCTGCCCGCGCTGGCTGCCACCTGTTTTTTGTGCAATCCGCTTGTGCTTCCTATAGAATTCGATTGATTCTTCAGGCGACAGGTGATCGTACCAAGGCTTGAGCTGTTTTTCTTTCTTCCATCGCTTTGCAAGGCCCTTGTACGTGTTGTTGCAGATCAGCTCGACTGGGTTGTTCGGAAGCTTCGTGGCAGTCTTGCGCGCGCCAGACGCAGATAAGTCTTTGATTGGGCACTCCTCGTCGCACTTGACACAGACGAAGTTCGGCGGCAAGCCACTTGAAGACCAATCCAGAGCCTCCTCGCCAAAGATACCCATACCAAGAGCCGAAGCCTCTTCCTCGGGCGATTGCGCGGGGGTTCCTGCCTCAGCCGACTGCCCTGGGGCCGCCGCGTCGGCCATGGCGTGGGCCGCGTAAAGCTGGGGCTGCAGGTGACAGCGTCGCGCTGCGGTAGCGGCGCAAACCTCGAGGCCGAAAAACTCGGGGGGGGGACGCAATGCGACGATGGGGGGGAGGATGACGAAGGGGAGGGACACGTTAAGGTTGAGGAAGGGAAGGGGATTTCGACAATGGTGAACTGCACGTGTTTTCAAGAGCGTTGTTTCCAGGAAATCCCAGATGAGGCGCGACGGCCGCAACGCATCTACCCCGAAGCTGCGCTGCCTGGCCAATGAGAGGCGGCAATCAGCATTTCAAAATCCCGAGAAGGCGAAACACAACCTCGAGAACTCGCAGTGATTGGTCCGTGCCAACACCCCCTGAATAATCCCGAGACGTTCGGGATAAGTAACAATCGACGGATTGCTACGGAGCGGCCTGGTGCCCCCCCACGGCGGCACGGCCCGAAGAACCAAGTCCACATCCTGCTGCCTCCCTCCTCCCCCTCATCGCTCACCCCCCGCTCTCCATCCCCTCCCGCTCCAGTCGCCCTCCGATAGCTAGCCCCAGATCCCCCTCCCTCATCATCACACTCCCGAGCCCTCTCAGGGCAGGAACGCAGAAATTCAGTCTCCGCGAACGGTGATGCTGAACCAGGGATACTTCTCCACCTCGCATGCGGGGGGAACCCAGATCCCGTGCAAGGCGGCTGGCGAGTGCACGAGCACGATGCCCCCCACGATTGGGTACGCCTTGTCCTCGATAATGTACTTTACCTGGGAAGCCGTCGGCGTCCTAGGCAAGAGCCGAAGGGATTGGCTAATCGCGGGTGGATAAGGCTGATGACAACGACGGGCGTGGGCGAGGAGGACGAAGACGGGAATGGGGACAATATGATTATGGAGAGAATGGGGGCGGATTTGCCCCGACAGTTTTTGCCACCATGAATTCTGTGCTCGGGGTGAGTCGTTCGGGCCCCTCCGCTTTCGGTCGACCGAGAGCTGAGGGGCCCGAGCGACTCACCTCCGAACGAAAAACTCATGATGGCAAAAACTGTCGGGGCGAATCCGCCCAGCCTGCGGGGCTGAAACAATGCAAAGGTCCCGCGATGCTGGTACACGACCACGATGGCCCACTTCGCGAGGAAATCCCACATCCTGAGGCAGCAGAAGTAGCACGCCTCACAGCCGCACTCGCGGCACCTCTCGCACTTCATCTTGCACGGTTCTTCAGCCGTCCACGGCCTGCAACGAACCACCGCTGAAGGAAAGTGCTGCTGGTCGGCATTACCGATGAAGGGGGGAGGACGAGCGAGCGTACGCGAGCAATACAGACTGTGACCAACCCAAACAAATCCCACCAACCCATTTAGGGCGCGAGGTCGTTTAAGGAGCTCGTTCTTCCAATTTCACATCTGGCCCCCCCTGCAATACCCTGCAAAGCCCCATTGCAACGATCCTGCATGCTGCTGCGTTGCATTTTGCCGCGTTGCATTTTGCTGTCGAGACCCTGCAAAGGCTCCTGCAAGGACCCCGCAAAGACCCTGCTGGACTTTTCAAACGCCTCTGGACAGTCAGCCGCACCTGCACGAAGCAGGAGGAGGGCGAACCCCAATGGAGACGAGGGCCGAAATTCCCTCACCCACAGGCGGCATAGAGCATGGCGAGGAGGTGGAGGCTGCGGGGGCGCGGACGTCCATAAAATAGGAGATGATTCCTTGATATCACAAAATGGAAAATGTCTATTTTACCGAGCTCGCTGCGAAAGCAAAGCTTGACATGCTATCGGACATGCTGATACTCCTCCCTGATCAAGGCATCCCACCGACGCTCTTCCCAGGATGGGATGGCGGGGATACGCGAAGCGTCAGAACTTCGCCTCCCTGACAACCATCCGCTGCATACCGCCATACTGCAACAGCGGCATTGCCATGGCTAGATCAAGCAAAGGGCGCAACAACAAGAGAAGATAGCGGGCACCTGGCTGCGCCATACTGCTATAAGACTCGCCGCACTGGACGAGCAGCTTCGCCCCCTCGGTCATGGCGTACTCGGGCTGCGGCAACAGCACCTGGGGGTCGTTCCCGATGTTCGTCATGTAGACCTTGGCCTGATGCACGACCTAGCCCGCAAGTAAATCAAACAATTGGAGCGCGCGGCGTGCAAGTGGGATGCGAGCACCGACTTTACATTGTAACATGCACACCAAACGCAACGCTGACATGAGCTACAACTGACACGGCACGTGGAAGCACGGAATCTGCGGTCACATGGGGGCGGGGGGGAGGCAGAAAAAGGCGGCATGAGAGCCTGGGTCTCGTGAAGCTTGACGATAAAATCCCTGACCTGCCAGCGACTACTGCCGCTGCAACCTGGGGGCCGCACCCAGAGGGGGATGCGAGGGGGAGAAGGCGACGGCGGCCCCTGCCGCGCGTCGGGCGTCACCGTCGGCAACGTGCTCCTGACTTTTCAAACGCAGTTGGAAAGTCAGCCGCACCTGCACAAAGCAGGAGGACAGCGAAGCCCCTTTGGAGACGAGGGCAGAAATCCCCTCACCAACAGGCGGCATAGAGGACGGCGAGGAGGTGGAGACAGTGGAGGGGCGGACGTTCAATTGTCAGCCACTCCAGGGAGGGGTTAGCCACAGAATGTCGTCTTATTCGAATAAGACGAAATGCAACTAATTATGGAGGTCGCTGCAGGCAGTGGAGGATAGCGAGGAGGAGGAGGAGGAGGAGGCAGTGCAGGAGGATGGCGAGGAGGAGGCAGTGGAGAGGGGAGGGGCTGAGGACAAAGTGATTTGCAACCCCTACGCGGCCACCTTTGGGGCCGAACCAGTTGTTTGTCCCGAGACTCCAACCGAAGTCCCACCGCGGACCATAGTCGAAAATATCCTGACGAAAGCCTGGAGCCGATAGGTATGACTGCTTCACGTGCCTCAATAATCCACGCGCGTCCTCCCGAAGAGCAGTGGCCAAACCCTGCGCAACGCACTGGACGGGCTTCTTCTCGGCTGTCAACCCCAACCATTTGGGCTCGCGGGGAAGCGCGGACGACGCACGAATGCACTGATCGAAATGCTGTTGGTAATCAGTCTTCACAACGTGGTTGCCGCACAGTGTGCACCACATCTCACCCTTTCCCTTGTCATATCCAGCCGGCTTGTCGTACGGGCCCTGGCCCGCCATGCTGGTAGATGATGGCAAAGTTGGATGGGGCGTTCGAAGGGCGGGGCTGAACTGATGCAACTCGGAACCTGCGAGCCGAATGCCTACCAGTCTCAACATCCGAAAATGCAAAAACAGGGATCGGAAAGTGCGGCACGTCGACTGATTTCGACGCGCGCACCTCTGGAAATGCCACAAAACGCTTTCGAATCGCAAACTAATCTCGAGCAGTTGGCGACCCCCACCGGCCCGAGTGAATCGGAAGTTTCCGGCTCGAATCGCACCTGAATCGCACCTGAATCGCAGCTAACTGGCCTGGCGATTCGTGTGAATCGCATCTTTCGCACCCGAATCGCACCTGAATCGCAAGTGGATTCGCACACAGGAAGCCATGGGGGCCCTCGGGCGGATAGGACGCCAAGTGTAAGCTTATGACAGTCATCGAATCTTAAAATCGACCTAAGAGGGCCCCACGAGGCTCCAGGAAGCCCCCAAGAACCCCCAAGACGGCCCAGATGAGCCCAAGATGACCGAATCTGGGCTCAAAGAGCTTACAGACGGCCCAAGAGGCCGTGTTTTGTTGTCTCAGGACCACCTGAAAAGCTGAGAGCCGCTCGAAGATAAAACTTTTGCTTGCTACCTCTAAGGGTCAAGATTCTGCACCTGGGCACTGGGCACTCCTATCGGAGCGAGCGCACACGCTCGCCCACCGCCTCCCTCCTCCTCCACCCACCCCGCCCATGCAGTCAATCTCAGCGTATATCCCTGGCAAGAGCATCGACATCAGCTGCTGGCGGTACATATCCTTTGTGATCCTCTTTATCTCCAATAGCTAGACCAACATCCCACCACAACTTAAGCCACGCAGCACAGTGCTGCCAGCTTGGATTGAGGTCCACCTGGCAGGACATATTTTCACATACTGTGCCACTGCTGCAACCGCCCCCCTCCCACCGTCATCGAAATGCCTGCGGATCTGCTGAACTTGCCGCCGCCGACCCCCTACGGCCCTGCTTGGGGACAAGACCCCCATGGGCGATGCTGGGCATGCCAGCAGGGCCGAGCAAGGGAGTTGGCAGGACTTTATTCGAGGGATCAGCGACACATGAAGTGGGACGAATAGAAACATAAACACGTGGGTGACACCCCCGTCCACCTGCCGATACTTAAAACACTTGACGTGGTCAGCATTCTGACACGTCACGTACCCGCGCTGCTTGCCGCTCTGGTGGGGGCATCCGTCGAAGAACACCCTGCATGGCCCGATGTCCACCCTGAACGGTGCTCCACTCAGGCCGCGGCCAGCCGCGGGGGCCACCAGCATGCCAAGGTCAAGTAGCGGTGCTGGCGCTGCGGGCACTTCACCCAATGCGTCCTCGATTGGAGCGCCAACTGGCGCGTCCTCTATGGCGGGGGGTGCTGCAGGCAGAGGCGTGCCCTGGAGGAAATTGATGAAATCTGCATCGCGAAGCGCTCTCACGTCAGGGAAATCATTGATCGGGCCAGGGGTATCAGACTCAAGCAGGACTCTGTAGTAACCGTGCGGCATTGCATGCACAATTCTGTGGAAACCTTTGCCGAAAATGAACGTCGCATCGAGCAGGGCTCGGGGGTAAAGCGCACTTGCGTAGAACAGTGATGGCCAGAACACCTTCTCCGATTCCCCATCATAGAAATCCAAGGCATCCCTGTCCCCAAGTTTCCACCCTTGGTGCAAAAGTTCATTGATCAACGCGAGCTTGGACCGCCTTGGCATCGCGCCAACGCAGGGCGTGAGCAAGGCCGACATAGGGTACTGGCACGACATACCCCCAACCCATCGCACGTGGTCAGGGTTCAAAATGAACTCGTCCTCCAGAAATTCGTTCTGCGAGCTCTCTATGGTTCCGAGCTGAGACATCATGCCAAGCATTGCGAAATCGGCATGCCCTAAAATTTCCGCTAACCGAGTGGCCTCGACGGGCCCGCCATGGCCCGTCACAGCCCCTAGCCGCACCAGAGCGCGCGCTATGTCCACTGCAGCGTCGGGCTCGCCCACCCCTCCAATACCAATCATGGAACAAATGGAAGTCATGGCACTGGGTTCAAGGACAAGCTCCGACGTGGTCCGAGCGACCTCCCAGCGAAAGAGCCTCTCAAGAGAGCCGATCTCCGCGAATACAGACAAATCCACAAAATAATGCTGCAAACTGCCATGCCTCAGGGATACGAGCCCACCACCGCCAGCATGTTGCTCCACCTCCCTCCCCATATCTTCCCCTTCGTCGTACTGCTGCCGCCCGTGCCCCCTCCTCAACCGACCTCCCCCAGAACCGCCTCCCCCCGTGCGCTGACACGCCGCTCAAACACTTCCCCATCGCAGATCCTTCAGAATGTGGACTTGCGCCCTCCCCCCCAGCCAAGCTCAAGCGCAGCCATGCAACGCGAACGCAGGCCCCGACAGTTCCACCCAAGGCCCCTCCCCATGCACTGCCAACTACACCCAGGAACCGCCTCTAACACAACAACGCTCGCGAGGTATCTGTTGACGTCGAGGTGGCCTGGATGCATCACGCGTGACTTCGCGGGCTCAACGTTAACCACTCTGAAAAACGCGTTCACCTCGCCAGCGAAATCGTATTCAATGACGGCACCACGGTGAAACTCAGACAGATAAGTCAGGAGCGCTCTCTCCGACGGAATATCACGGTCCACGCCAGCAACGACTCCACCGACAAGCTGATCGAAAATGCGTCGGGGCATACTCCAGAGGGTTCCTGGCTCTGCGAGGCGATCCTGGACGAACGATATGATGTGCTTCTGAAGGGCGCTCGCATTCTTTGAAACAGGCTTCATCTTGGTTTCGATCTCACTCTTCCACGTAGAAAAAGTTGCCCCTTCAGCGTCGAGATTCCGAAACTGCTGATCCACTTTGTAAAGGTACAATCTACTGTGCAACCCCTTCACTGGAAGGACCTGGGGGGAGGGCCGACGCGCGAACTGGCTACCTTACCCCCCCCCCCCCGACACGCTAACTGCAAATGCACTCGACGAAACGACGATGGATGCCGAGAAACCCCTTTTTGACGTGCACCCTGCTGGCCCCCGCCCTCTTGCCCAGGCGGGCATAGCCCCGACTACCCCATGACTCGCAATTTTGTGTTGGGGGAAAACGGCTACTATTTGCTCGGGGAAGGGGCATCGCCATGACCTTCGCCTTCCATCGATCCTGCACTGGGAAAGTGAACTCTACCAAGCCTCTAGATAGTCTCTTCGCCCACTGGGAACACGCATAGGCAAAGAAATCCTCGTCATCGAGACGCCTGCACAATTCTGGTTTCTTTAATCTCGTATTCAACAAGTTCGGCAACATCCACATACTCTTCCGCATATTCCCACTGATCCTCGAATGGGACCCTTCTGTTTTCCTCGTGACCGTGGGGGAGAGGGCGTAATTCCTTAACTCCAGCAAAACATCGACGCCGAGCTCTGCATCGCCCCGCCGACCGAAGCCCTCCAATTGAGTCCCGAATGGGAGCTCTGGGTCCACGAGGAGGCGATGCGCTACCCTGTGCATCTTGGCCCCCCGCCCAGCACCGATCGCCTCATCCTTCTCCTCCAAACACTCCCTGCACACCTCCCTCGCCCTATCCAGACTACCAGACTGCATGTGCACATATATGCCGAGCAGTTTTAGCGGGAGCTTGCCCCAAGGAGACAGTTTGAGATGCAGCTGCTCAGTTATACTGGTCTTGAGCTCGCGTTCGAGCGCCTGGAGCTTCCGCCTCTCATCGTCCGAGCACTCCATGTACAGCTTCTGTAGATCCCTGGAAGTGCAATCCCTGATGTTGTTTATGTGGGTTTGCCAGTGCCCTGCGGCCAATTCACACCCCCGACGGCACTTCCAGTCACAGTGACGAGCAACTTTACGATACTTATTCAAACGATCGACGAAGCTAAGAGATCGATCAGAAGACTCGAAAACGTGCTCGTGGCACCAGCACCGTTCTTGCCAGTTCGCTTCCCTTTGCACCCCTGCAGCCACGGCGTAAACAACCTTTGCTAATTGAACAAAGTACCGCCACATGACGAGGTAAGCGCCGATATCGTCGATGCTCTTCGCGCTAAGCTCACCCACTTTCCACTGATGCTCCCCCTCCTCTGTTCCCCTCTTCATCGCTGCTACGCTGTATACTTCCGCCATTTCGGGGACGACCTTGATGAGATCCGTAAGAAACCCTTGCAAGTATTCCCACTTCCACGTGAATTTTGTCCCATGTCGCCACGAATCGAACATGTGTTTCTTGCTGTCTGCCCCGGGGCCTTGAAAACAAACAGCCTGAAACCTGCCTCTGAGTCCTTTGTCCCCGAGAAAATGCGCAAAAACATGACAGGCTTTGTCCATGAACTCCCACGCGGGGGCAGATGTCACAGCGCGTTCCAGAGCGTTGTAAAAAATATGTAAGTCGTCGTTAATGGTCACGGCAATCGGGAACATGAAAGAGAATGCAGCATCATAAGAGTTCACAGCAACATCTGACGCCCGTATCTTCTGCATGCTCGTCAACCAACTCTGATCTGACATATTCCCTAGAAAAGGAGCGTCTGCGATATCAGCTTCGAGTCCCTGATCGGACGTGAACGAATACACTTCGTACCTCCACGAATCGAGATTGGCGACTGACCCAGTCTCGAGCCTTGCACAGTGTAGTACGTTGGATACCTTATGGGCCAATGTCGCAGCTCCCATTCCTAAAGTGGTCAATGGCATGTGGCGCTGTTCGATGCGTGCACTAGCGTGCGCCCTCTCCCTCACTGACACATCGGAGCGCCAGAGTTCCCGATCTTCCTGGAGGACAAAAAAGTTATTGCCTCTGATCGTCGAGGCATCTGCTAGCAGATGCCTGTGGCCAGAATGACGCTTGTACAACGTTCTCTGATATGCAATATCAATGATGTTGATCTTGAAATCCTAGCAGCCCTGTTGGGCGTGAGGTGGTTTAGGGGCATCGTTTTTCCAATTTCTCATACGCCCCTCTCCCTGTCCTCTGACCTGGGGCCCCGTGCAGCACCCAGCAAAGCCCCCTTGCAAATACCCTTTCATTGTAATTCGTTGCAAGTTGCTGCGTTGTACATTTGCTGTGCACGCCCTGCAAAGAACCCTGCAATGAACCAGCAAAGACCCTGGAAAGCTCCTGCAATGACCAAGCAATTGGAAAGTCAGCCGCACCTGCATAAGGCAGGAGAAGGAAGAGCCCCAATGGAGATGAGGGCAAACATTCCCTCACCCATAGGCGGCATGGGGGATGGCAAGGAGGTGGAGGAAGTGGAGGGGCAGCCGCTCATAAAACATGAAGTTCTGATTCTATATGATAGAATAGAAAATGCATATGTTATCGAGATCGCTGCGGAAGTAAAAGCTTTACATGCTATCTGAAATGCTGCTACTCTTCACTGATCAAGGCATCTCACCGAGGGTCTTCCTTGAACAGGCTGGCGGGGGTACGCAAAGCGTCGAGAATTCGCTCGCCTGACAACCTCCCTCGAGGGTATCCTAATGAGGCCATCCCGCAGTGCAGCACATGTTTTTGCAGCCTCCTCTCTCGGGAGCGACAACTGCAGAGCTAGTTTTATAATTTGTTTCAAATCAACTGACTGGTCTTTCATTTCAACGCTCATCTGCCACGCCCTCAGAATAACATCAGGCTTAAATGGATCCACGTGTCGAGGAAGGCAAGACATAGCATCATCGACGATAGTCCCTGACGAAGTGTTCCTGACAATTTCATCTGGCAACTGTTCTCTGCCCACCGGCGTGCTCGGCCCGAGCACGCCGGTGCTCAAGGGTGGCTCGCTCACGCCAGCCATGCCGCAATAATTGAGAGGCGTCAATATCAAGGGGATCTCCGAGCTGATTATTTTCTGTGCCAATTTGTAAGACGGGACCCTGAATGCACGGATTTTCATGCTTGCGTCAACTATCCCACACTGCTTATCTGCGTCGAGCACGCATGGCGAACGACTCAATTGACATATGGGCTTCCAAGAGCGACAGTCATTATACGGGATCTGGACGGGAGGGCATCGAATAACACCTGCGACATTCCAAACAATAGCGTCCGCCCCACAACCGCCACTGATCCTCTGCTCTGGCAAAGACGGGTGCGAGGAATCGAAGCACTTCGCTACAGAGTCCAGTGTAACGACGCCGTGATGAAACGCATGGGACCCCTCACCCGCATCGCCTCGCTTTCTCTTCGAAGAAGGGTGCCAAGTATACAACCAAAACTGCTGGGGCAGCGCATTCTGGATTCTCTTCCGTTGTCCGCCTCCCCCCTCTCTTACTGCAGCGCGGCTGGCACGGCGGAGAGGGGATGGCGAAGTTGGAGGGGAGCACGGGTGCCTGGACGGGTAGAGCTTGGGGCGATTAAGAAGCGAGAGAATAACAACATCGAGAAGGCCGATGACATAGTGCCCCCCTTGCCTCCCCCCACCTTCCTCCGTCGGTACCCTAAATCCTCCTCCTCCTCCTCCTTCTCCTCCTCCTCCTCCTCGTCCTCCACGCCCGCCCCACTTCCCTCCCTCCTGCCGCTGCCCGCCCCTCGGCCCCTCCAGTGAGCCGCCCTGCACGCGGCGGCGGCGCCGCCGCGACGTCGGCGCCCAGGGCGCCGAAGTCCACGGGCAAATCCGCCATGGGCGGCGGCCCCCCCCCTGCGCCCCGAAGGGAAGCGGGCGGCGGCGGCATGTCGCGGGCTGGTGGCGCCAGCGAGAAGTCCGCGAAGGCGGCGATTCTATGAATTTCTTGCATGCCAAACAACTAACATGACCCCCCGCCACCACGGGCGCGATGCAAAGGCGCGAGACTCAATCAGAAAAGCAAGTTCCAATCGACACGCTTCTCGTCTGCAAGAGAAAGACAGTTCCCATCGGAACGCTTTTCAATGACTGAAGATGCAAGTTCCTACCGAGACGCCTCTCCCTCCTCCTCTCCTCTCCCCCCTCCCCCTCCCCCTCCTTTAGAGGAAATGATACCACGACCCCAGAAAACCTTAAAACGGCAACAGGTCGCATTTTCATGAATCCAGAACGCAAGAAATATAAAGACGTTCGATCGAAAACGCACGTGCGCCAAGCGCATGCGGCCCCCGTGACCACGAGAACCACTGCGCGAGATCTCGCGGAGATCTCGCGCAGTGGTTCTCGTGGCCCCTCCTCCTCCTCCGCTCTAGACCCATCGCAGATGCGACGCTGGCATCGCGCGTGGTATCCGACCCCCGCCCCGTCCATTCCGGCAAACCCCATCGCGCGTTCCGCGCCCTCGTAGCGCTCGGCGCGACCGCGGAAATACCGAAAACCTTGCCTGGAGGACGCTTTCCAGTATTCCTGCCCCTTGACACTTCCCCGCATTTCGGCGCCACCCCCCCCGCATCGTGCCCCCGTGCGCGCGGAACCCGCCGCTGCGCAGTGCCATTCGTGTCGCGATGCGTTCCGCGTCGTGGCGATCGGCTCATCATTGGTGGATGCGCGGCTTTTCGCGCGGGGTGGCGGCGAGAATCATGTGTCGTTAGAGATGGGGCCGATGCCTACCTGAGACACAGAGTTTGGAATCGCCAGCCAGTGGGCCCCCCTACTTCGAGCCTTCCACCCCAAGCTCCTGCGGTGATGCCATAACTCGGGCCCGGCTTGATTAATGTCTGTATTCCTGAAATACAAACCCGATTTAGCCCCAACCCGAGCTACCCCTGAGGATTCGGGGCTCTGGACGCCCGAATTATCCGGGGCAGCTCGGGCCCGGGGTTAACTCGGGTTTGGATTCCCGAAAAACGAACCCGAATTTGCCCTAACCCGAACTGCCCCTGATGATCCGGGGCTCTGGTATCGCCCGAGTTATATACGGGGCAACTCGGGCCAAGGGTTCACTCGGGTTTGGATTCCCGAAAAACGAACTCGAGTTTGCCCTGGCCCGAACTACCCCTGATGATCCGGAGCTCTGGTATCGCCCGGGCTATGCGGTGTAACTCGGGCTCGGGGTCAACTCGGGCCTGGATCCCCGCATAACGAACCCGAGCTCGTCCTGACCAGAGCCACCCCTGATGATTCGGAGCTGTGGTACCGGCCGAGCTATCTGGTGCAACTCGGGCCCTGGGTTAACACAGGTCAAGATTCCCGAAAAACCAACCCGAGCTATTCCTGACCAGAACTACCCCTGATAATTCGGGGCTCTGGACGCCCGAGTTATCCGGGGTAACTCGGGCCCGGGGTTCACTCGGGATTCCCCATGGACGAACCCGAATTAGCCCTGACCCAAACTACATATGATGATTCGTGCCAAGTTTGCTCTCCTCTGACGTGTGGGGGGGGGGGGAACGACAAGCACATGACCCCCCCATCCCCCCCTCACCCCCTATCGTTGGGCGCTCGAATTACCCAGGGCAACTCGGGTCCGGGGTAACTCGGGTCAGGGTCCCCGAAAAAAAACAAACCCGACTTAGCCTTGGCCCGAGCTGCCCCTGGAGTTATCTGGGGTAACTCGGGCACGGGGCAACTCGGGCTTGGATTCCCCGGGGAAAAAATCGCGCAAGAGTTAGCCGTGGCCCGAGCTACCCCCGATGATTCGGGGCTCTGGGTGCCCGAGCTATCCGGGGTAACTCGGGTCCAGGGTTAACTCGGGTTTGCGGATTCCCGAAAAACGGCCCCGAGTTAGCCCTGACCCGGGTTGCCCGAGGAGGAGAAGAGGCAGGAGGGGCGAGGGAAGAGGGGCGAGGGAGGAGGAGGAGGAGGTGGAGGAGGAAGAGGAGGTCGTTGTGG